ATTCAGATCAGAGCTGCCTTGCCTTTGCCAGAACTGCATTCACAGAAGCATTGCCAGCCTACAGGAAAAGACCGGAATATTGCCCCAAATGTCTACAGGCAAGATGGGATGTCAGCTGGGAGAGTATCACAACTGATCACATAGGCTACTTTGCAAGGAAAAGGGAAGATGAGGTATAAGATGACCTGAAGATTCCAGAGGACGGAGCCAGACACTGTGAAGACGAGCCCCTGACTTTGGGTCCTAATGGAGAGACAGCCAGCATTTCTAGGGACGGGTGACTCTTATGTGCCTTGACATTCTCCACACCTTGACCTGGAGAGTGGAGAATTCTTATGTATCATGTGGTTTCCCCACCAACGGAAGCCTCCTGCTCCTGTTGTGTTGGCCTTCATTTATCCCCATAGCAACACTGTAAACAAAAAGGAGCTATTAAGATACCATTAGGGGTTATCATTTTTTGTTTGTTTTTGAGATGTCAACTTTGGCCCTGAAAGTGTAGGTATTACATGTATTTTAAGGAGGCTTTCAGTGCAAGAGGAGCGGTAACTTCCTGGTCATTCTCACGCAGTTGGGGTGAGAGGAAATCTACTCAACGGCTCTACTTCAGGGCAGAACTTGCATAACCTCGTGCATATCTGGAGCTGATTTTGATGATATTCGACATTTTTATTTCACCTTGATAAGAAATAAGAATTTGGGGGTAATGTCTAGTGAGATTGCTCTCTGGGTGTGCTGGATATTTTTGCTAGACACAAACTAAAGTTATCTGAGAGGAGGGAACCTCAATTAAGAAAACGCCTCCATAAAATCGGGTTGTAGGTAAGTCTGTGAGACATTTTCTTAGTGATTGATGGCGTTGGTAGTGGTGAGGAAACCCACTGCATGGAGTGCCAGTCCTGGCCTGGTGGTCATGGATTTAATAAGAAAGGAGGCTGAGCAAGCCATGAGGAGCAAGCCAAAAAGCAGTATCTCTTCAAGGCCTCTGCTTTAATGGCTGCCTCCAGGTTCCCACCTTGTTTGAGTTCCTATCCTGACTTCTTTCGGTGATGGACTACAACATGGATGTGTAAGCCAAATAAACCCTTTCCTTCCCAACTTTTTTGGCCATTGGGGGTGGTGGTGGTGGTGGTGGTGGTGGTAAAGACATCTGTCATGCAAAGCTGGCAACCCAAGTTTGATTCCTAGAACCCATGGTGGAATGCAAAAAGTTGACTCCTGAAAGTAGTTCTCTGACCTCCACACCTGTGCTGAGATGTGACTGCATCCATACTAACAGACACACACGCCACACACATGCCACACACACACATGCATACACACTAGGCACACACACCCTCCAAATACACAGGCTAAACAAATACGTTAATAAACTGAGTTTTGGAGGCCTTGGGAGAGAGTGTGTGAGGTATGAAGCACTAGTCTCCAGACAGTGAAGTATTGGCGCCAATAGTCCAGCATGGCCTGATGATCCTCATGTGAAGGATCTTGACTAAACACTAGTGGTCTCTGTAACAGTAGAATCTTAGAGAAATGATGGAACAAGACTTTGGGAGCCAGGAAGTGCAGTTTCACTTTGCCTCTCACACCGCTGGTTCTATCAGGTAGTCCTATGGAAACATTTATTTACCCTGATTTGCCAAGCACATGAGTCAGTCACCTTGGTTACAGCCACAAAACCAGGAAAGCCTTCGGATGACTGCTGAACTGGGCTGACTTCTCAGTCAGAGCTCGATGGGGGTCCTCCAGGTCAGAAGCACCTCGTGAAGGCTCTCCCACGTTCCAATCTCCGCAAAGTTATCAGAAGGCGCTGTCTCTTACGCCCGCTGTTTTGGGATCATTTGTTCTGCCGCATCGCTTAACTAATAGTTCCTGTAAGCAAAGAAAACACACTGGAGAACTTGTGTAGATCTTTCTGGCATTTTTATCCCAGTGTCTTAGCAAGCATCTTTTCCTGATGATTAATCAGAGGTGAGAGGGTGGCTGAAGAGAGTATAAAAATATCAAGACTTTCTTTCTCTGTAGTGGTTGCCTTTCTTCGTCCCCATATAGACACGGTGAATGAGAAGGAGTCCTTAGACATCAATTAGGGTTTATCATCATCATTATTGCTATTATTACTTTTGCTTTGAGAAGTTACCGTTGGCACTGAAGGTGTAGGGGGATCGTGTGTTTTTAAGGAAGGCTCTTTTTGACAGGAAGTTGTTTCTAGCATATCGAACTATGGAATATTTGTGTGAGGAATTGGAGGTCTGGGCACCCCTGTCTTGCAGGGAGAGTTGCCTACCCTTTGTAATGATTGCTGGTCTGTATGGGACTTACTGCAGGGATAGGGAAAAAGGGGCCAGCGAGCATAACTAATCTTTCTAAAGGCAGCCCTGGCTCCCAGGCCAATTAGCTCAGGTTGATTTCCATTTGTGCTTTGTCTTTGTTGTTATTGTTTTGTTTTGCACCCCTCCCCCTTTCTGGTAGTTTCAAGGGAAAATAATTCCATCCAGTAAGGGCTAAATGCTTTCTTTTTATTATGCTGAGCTGGGTGTGGCTACTCGATGTTGGAACAGACATGAAAATTTTATTTTATAATTTTGTATATCCCTTGAGGCAATGCTCTGACTGGGTCCTTTGAAACTGCAGGAAATAAATTACCAGCGGGCTCCAATCCAAGAGGCACGATGTAGTTTACAATGCTGATTGGAGTGGAACCCACTCCCAGTGCATAGGCCATGTGTGCATTTATATGGAACGCTCTTCTGCTCTAAAACCGAGTACCATTAAGTGTTTAAAACAGCATTCTGCTTTGGGGTTCATAAAAAGGCTATCCTCAGGACTAAGATGTAGTCACATCGCTTGTATTTTCCCTTGAACTTTGTGCCTGATGGAGTAGAGGTCACTTTCGATTTGAAGTGGTTTCTTTCTAAATACTTGGATGGGTTTTGTGGGAATGTGCGGCTTCTCCCTTATCAGCGTGTACATTTTGTTCACCAGGTGAGTACCATTATGTTTCTGTAAAATATGCTGGTTGTTTTGTTAACTCTTAGTTCCTTATGTTTATTCTGCTTGATTTTTGTTTCAGGAGTTTGTAATTTATTTATGTATTTTTGTGGAGTTCCAGGCACCCTGCTCGGGGCCTTGTGTTTGCTAGGCAAGCGTTCTTCTGCTGCCTTATATTCTCAGCTGATGGTTCATGTGACTTTAAGCATTCAGAACTAAGTTAGGCAGATAGGAAAATGCTTAACAGTTTAGTGTTTTTTCTTTTTATTTGAGGTTTGCTTCCTGTCAGGTGTGGGATATTGGCCTCATGAGTCATTTTTGTTGTCTGCTTGAGGGGGCATTATTAAAACTATTTGTGTTTTCAAATAATTGCAGGTCATATAGCATTTAGAAATTGTAAGCTCAACAATGAAATTATCATTATGTTTCTACTGCCAATAAGTTCTGTGTGTGTACGTTTGTACATGTTCATGTATGCATGGATATGTGTTATATGTGAACGGATAAATATAGAGATCAGAGGACATTTTGGGGTGTCTTCTTCAGTTTTTCTCCACTCTATTAACCCCTAGACATTTCTGTAATTGTTAAGACCAACTTATTTGAAATTATACAAACATTTCAGTTCCTAGCTGGTTAGTGCACACTGTTGTTTGCTGAGAGCATCCTGGAACGACCTCCCACTTCCACAGAGAGTTTTTGATGTTGATTTTTCGTGCCCCTCCCTTCCTTGGCAGTCAATGTTGCTTTTCACTGGTCACACTTTCTCTTGCACTTTCCCGAAGTCCCCTTATGCTCTGAGAATAAGCTGCTGACTTGGCCTCCAATCCCCCCCCCCTCTCTTTTTTTTTTTTTTTTGGTCTGATATTCCCTCTCATCCCAACTTTGCTGCCTACGCATAGGAAGCGCTGCCTTCTCCAAGTGGGAGATTGCCTTCTGCTCTGTGGACCTCAGCTTGGGAGGGAGATGGGTGTGGCTCCAGGGAGGCCCACACCACAGAGGCAGAGTTGCCAGCCAACTTAAGTGGACAAGCGTGTGCTAGCATGCAAGCAAGACATTCCCCCTATGCACAAGCCTAGCAAAGCAAAGGGAGTCCACGTGGAGTCACCAGGGACTCAGCCACACAAAGTACTTTTCTTTCTCAAGAGCAGTAAGGGGTGATGCCAAAGCCAGTCCTAGGAACCAGTGTGTGTGGTTGCAATGCGGCTCCCTGAACATAGAACAGATCGTGGTCTCACAGCAGCTTAGCATAATGGTAAGCGTTGGCTTGTGAATGGAGGATTGGGCTTTTGAAATTAGATAGGAGGGCAGGCTTGGAGGTGGGGGATAGCTTTTCAGTGTTTTTGGAGGCAGTCCTTCAGACAGGTGCAGGGAGTGAGGACTATGCCCCTCCCCAACGGGATGGTTCAGCCAATAAGCGCCAGGCTTCTCCTTGGTCCTATAGCATGGTCTCTGTGCCTGTCACGAGCTGGCTCAGCAACCAAACCCAGATTCCAGGTGTGGTATTCCACAGCCGTTCTGTAATTTGTAATCATAGAAACAGAATGTTCCTCCTCTTATTTCTTCCCTGCCAACAGTTTCTGGGTGGGTGAATGTCAGTAGCTGGAGTTATTTTTAAAGAGGTGAAGCTTGTCGTGCGAAGCTGGGAAGAGGGCGTTTGTTTGCAGAGCAGAGCTGACATCAAAGTGTAGATTACTGCTCACTGGCCAGGCGCTTGTCCTATAACAGGTAATGTTTAACGTGCCAGTCACAAAGATCACAGAAACAGTGTACGCTCGGGCAGAAGGTAGCGCCACCTTTTATGCTCCGGAAGACTGAAAGGCTATACGTGTCCACGGACTTTTTTTTTTTTTTTTCCTCGTTCAAATACACTTACGCGTTGTTCTTGCCACCGCCTCTTTTGCTGACTATAATTGGACTTTGAAGCTGGGAAGTTGTATCATAAAAATTGGTAACCTTTGTCTGAGAGCAAGCTCAGCTAAACAATCACTTTCTAATTCTTTTCACAGGATAATATAAACGTTTTTTTGAGAGCTTGTGAACAGATTGGATTGAAAGAAGCCCAGCTTTTTCATCCTGGGGATCTGCAGGATTTATCAAACAGAGTCACTGTCAAGTAAGTTCCCCTGGTGTGTTTTCCACGGATAATAAATATGCCATATATAAATGTAATGAATAGGTATGTATTTTTTAAACTGAAGGCTTGCCGCTGAAGTGAAAATAATTGCTGGGAGATTTTGTGATTATGGAACGATCTCTCCTCTGTATGTCTCATTCTAAAATAGACTCTTTAAAAAATGGCTTGGGGACTGAGAGTGAGAAGCCAACTGTAACTGATACCGTGTCAGACTCTTGTTGTAAATCTCTATGCTGACCGGAGTGGTGGTTTATATTTTAATGTTTTCCAGCATGATAGTGTCTGGCTGCTAATGGTGAGGATATTTATTCATTATAATTATGAAGTGACTTCAGAGGCTATTACTGTAATTTAAGGTGAAAATAGTCAGTTTAAAGCACTTTTTAGGTCCTTGGAAACAGGACATGTTCGTTAACAGGAAAATGACAAGAAACAAGCAGTGAAAGGCACTTGTCAACACTTGGAAGGTCCCTGCGCCTAGGACCTACAACCTCGGTGACTGTGGTCACCTTTCAAACAGTGAACCTTCTCCCATTGTTTTAATACTGTGGACAAGAAGGCAGACGGGGACGTGAACACACATCTGCGGCTATTCTGTTGGAGTTTATGTGGGCAGTGGTGTTAATGTGTGCGCGAAGGGTTCCAGGACTATGGTTTTAAGTTGTGACAAGATTGGTTTTTTTTTCCTACAAGCCTACGTTGCATCCAGGAAATCACTAGTACAGTTGCGGTGCCAGGTAATTGTGACAGGAAAGTTATATAATTTTTAAATAATGCCTCCCTCCTTCTCGAGGCTCTTGGACCTAATTAACGTTTTTCCAGGCGAGGAAATAAATGCTTAATTCTATCTGTAGAAATCTGAAAATGGAAAACCCTGTCTAGGCTTCAGATAAAGATTATGTCCTTTATCCAAGCACCGAAGCTCCAGCCATTATTAAGATCAATTAGGAAATCTTCAACAGTGCCACTGTGTCATGAAGGAAAACAATGCCACAGATATTTATGATAGTCTGTGTTGTCTCCTGGCCATCTACCCTAAAGCCTCAAACAACACGAGTGGCTTTAAAGTCTAACAGTAAATATTTCAAAGGAACAACCTGTGCCCCATCGACCCATCTCTTTCTCTCTGGTCCACAGCAGTGACAAGTCCCTTGAAGGGGAGTCTGTCCACGTTTCTGTTGACTTGTAAGGAAGCTCAAATCCCAAGTTTTATTGCTGAAAAAATATTTACTTCTGTCATATGTAGGGTCCTTTTAACTTCCACTCAAAAGTACATTTGTTTAATTTCCTTTCCTAAGACCGTTCTGAGCAAAGAAACTTTAGCCATCAAGCTGTTCTTCCCTTCAGGGGTCCTGTAAATTAAGGCCAAGCGCCTTTCCCTCTACAACCGTATCGCTTTGAACCTATGCAGCCTGTAGTTGAGAGCTAGGTGAAACATGTTTGTCGGCTCCTAATTTCCAGGGTGTTGCCTATAAGGCTTGCCTGGAGCCGCTTTCAGGTCAGGAGTGGCTGGGTCTAAAATGTTGACAAGAAATCCGTATCTGGGCTCAGCCTCCTGTGAAATTAAATTACTGACAAAGTGAAACCGGGATGGCCGCGAGGCCGGCGCAACAACTTGTTTGAGTGGAAACCACAAGCCTGTCACCGCAAGGTGTGCCTCAGTCAGGGTGAGAGAGCCGGAGCCGCAGCTCTGGTTCTGCTTGAGAACATTCCATGCTTGTGTCTCTGCTGGGCCATCAAGGAAAGTTCTGGGTCTACGGCAGGCGGAGGCTCGGTCGGTCCCTCCCGGAAAAGATTGAAGATCACTGGCAACTGACTTCCCTTGCGCTTTGAGAAGGAACTTTTCATTAAAGGAAGCAGGTTTAAAGGAAGGCAAATAATTGCTCAGCAAAGGGAAGGGTGGCTGTGAACTTTTAGTTCAAGTTCTTATGTAATGTGCAGATTCCTGTAGCTCAACTCGTGCCCTGTTATTATTGCAGATTAAAGGACTCGGCATCGATTAGATCGGTGGTTCTCTTGTAGTTTCCCTCTCCCCCCTGTGGACATTTGGCAATGTACGGAGACATTTTCGATTGTCATGGTTGGTGTGGGATGCCGCAGACATCTATTGAGTGGGTCGCGGTGATGCTAAGTGCCCCATAGCCCATAGAACAGCTTCAACAAGGAGGGTAATACTGCTGGGGTTCAGAAATCCTGATGTAGACATGGAAGGCCCTATCTGCCAGCAAAGTGGTCATGGGGAAGTGAAAGACTCAGAGTGGACAGACCTGTGACACTGTGATGTCACTTCACGTATACTGTCGTCTAATAACGACATTTCGGTGATGTATGTTTTTGTTCCAGCGGCCGAGCTCCTGGTGACTTGTCTGAGAGTGTGAAAGCGTGTGGTACTCTGAGACCGTATGGCTCATCTGTAAACATTCGATTTAGCAAAGCCGTAGTAAGCAATTTGATTATGTGAAGTGTGCCACCATGGCAGAACCACTCACGCTGCATCTGATTGCTTACAGACCTATGCTGGCCTTGCTTCTCATGCAAGGTAGCCATGGGATACCAAGAGAAAGGAGAAGTAGTTCATATACTCCGTGTTGTGGAACAGGAGGTGTTTTTGTTGGTGGGTGGAGGAGACATATTACGGGGTACACTGAGTGTGGGAGAATTGAGCGCGTTTGACAGTGAACGATGAGAACAGGAACAGTTAAGGAGCTGCCGGCAGTGAGCGACTGTAGGGACCCAGATCCTAGTACATTGTAGGAATCTGTGTCTTAAAATTTAATTTATAATCAATGTCCTCCAACGAAACAGAACTAGAGGACTCTCTATGCTTTTGTAATTGTACATAGTCATATACGATCTAGTTTCCTGGGTTGTTTTGCTTTGCAGGGATAAACTTTGTAGTTTGAAGTTTTTCAAGTACATTTGAATGATTCTGTTTACTTTGATATTGGCTCTTATTCACAAACCAGTAGGTTCCACTATATTTTTTCTTCCCAAAGGGTTAGTAAATAAACTTAAAATCCTGTCTCCGTGAATGATAGGTGGAGGGCTAACCAATACGTGGCCAGGAGATTTAGCTAACATGATTTTAACATTTTAGTGAGTACCCACACTGAACTGGACATACGTAGTCCATGGGGAATGAGTGGCGAGGCACTCCCTGCCTAGTGACCACAGAGGCATGCCACCGTACACTTGGAACTCCCCGGCAGCAAGTGTCAAGGTCCTTGTGATGGTATCTGGTCAGAAATAGAGGCACAGGGTGACTGATTATGTTAGAAATCAGCTCATCAATAAAGTCTTAGATGCTGTCTTATGGGACTTAGAGTTGGTCCAGGACCGACTGATCATTAAAAGTTTTAACAGTATATGTTTAATAAGTTCTGATTTATAAACTAAAGCATATTGTTGAAGCATTGCTTAAACAACTTTTTCTCTGTGTGTGTGCATGTGTGGGTAGAGTGTACGCCTGTGTGTGTGCAGGTGCACCCACCTGTGCTTATGCATGTGGAGTCCAGAGGTGTTGGTGCCTTCTATCGGTTTTCACTGAAGTCTTTGAGACAGGCTCTCTTACTGTCCCGAAACTTGCTGCGAAGGCTAGTCTGGATGGCTGGTGAGGCCTCAGCACCTGCGCATCTTCACCCTGACTGCTGCCGTTACAGGCATGCGGTGGTTACAGGCTAAGAGCCAGGCTCAGACCGCATGCCTGTAAGCGCACGCCCAGGATCCTAGCTGAGGTTCTCACAGTTTGCCCAGAAAGTACTTCACTTACTGAGCCACCTCCGCAGCCTATTCCAAACTCGTCTATCAAACATTTGAAAGTGCAGATTTGAACAGACTGTAAACATGTTTGTTCCCTCCGCCCCCACAGCACTCCAATCCAGATTTGAACACTCCTTCAGATGAATTCTGTGCATAAGGTAATTACAGAACGGCAGTGCTTTTGAACACAATGTCTCTGTCACGAAAAGAAATTATTTTCTACTACCGGCTTAGAGCTGCATTGTTTGGGTTAGTAACCCTTTAAGTAGAATATACAACATTAAATGGTGTTGTGTTTCTGGATTTGTCCTCTAATGTATTATTTTAAGGATACACAAACCAAGTGTTTTTTTTTTTCACCTGCTAGTTGCAAAGGAAGAGTGGTTAGATAGAAGTAAAATTGGTGTTACTATTGCTCCATCGTGAAAATGATGGGAAGCTCAAATGACCTTCCAGGTGATAGGTCTCTGTGGCTTCAGAGGCCAGCATGATTTTTGTACCCACACTGTGAAGTCCTTCAGGTTCCCAGATGGCACCGTGCTTGGACGTCTGTCAAACAGAGCCCAAGTGGGTTTGTGTGTATAAGTGTTAATTTGTGGTTTTATCATGTAGGTAAAAATAATTTATTTTGAGTACTTTCTTTATTAAGATTATTGTTATACTTTTTAAAGAGTGTGTGTGTGTGTGTGTGTGTGTGCATGTATGTGCCTCTATGAACATATACCAAGTGTATGGGTGCTTTCAGCGACTGGATGAGAGTGTTGGATACCCTAGAGCTGGACTTACAAGTATCTGAGTGCTGGGGACCAGACTCAAGTCCCCTGAGAGCAGTGAGTGCTCTTAACCATGGAGCCATTTGTCCAGCCCTCATTAATTTTTTTTTTAAATTTAAGGCTGGTTTTAGATCTTTTATTGCAAGTTTGTCTTCTAAATGGGTGTCTCGCCATCTTCATCTTTATTTATTTAAAGTAAGCTTAGTCCTCTCCAAACTTGGATCTGTCGCTTGAGCTTGGAGACTTCCACCTGCCACTAAGTGTTACTATTTTAAACGTCCCCTCCCTATTGACTCCCAGAGGGCAGAAAGGAAGTCCATTGTGCTGCGTCCATCTGCTTCTCCTTATACCATTCTTCGGGGACTGGAACTTCCTGGGAGGGGGACATTAGCTGCTCTGGGAGCTCCGAGGCCCTCACAGAGGCCAGCAGGTGAAGTTGGTGTATGC